TAGCAGTTTTCTAAGACCAAAATGTCGTCAGAGGTCTATTTCACGTGTTTTCCGAACAAAAACATCATTTTCAGTGAAAATAGAGCAAGTTGAAAAATTCACTTCAATCCGACCTATTTTTCGACCATGAAATGCCCTCAGATCGCATTGTGACCACTTTTGATCGATTGCTCGTCGAAAATTTAACGGATATGGTCTTTCGTGGGCCTTTTTCAGCCAGTATATACGTATTTTTGGCAGCAATTTCATCGTAGAATGCGACTCTTCGTATAAATTCCGTTCATTGATGAATTGCCTATGCCCAGAACTTCGAAATACGAATTTTTCCGGATATGTGACATATGCCATTTTGTTGGTATGGTAGCCGGCTACAAACGCTCAGTTTTTGGTAAAACATTATCGGGCTGATTTTTGAGAAATCGCGTTTGGTGTGAAATTTAAGGGGGTCGATTTTTCATAAAAATCGACTTTTTTCTTTTATATCACATAAACATTGGCATGTGTGTATGGAACTTTTTGAAGGTCTTCTCAAATGATAATGAGCTGACTTTGCCCGATGGGCGTCTGAGTTGATCTAGTGTGCGAAATAAATACTTGAAAAAATCGTATACATGCAGGCTAATGAAGCCATAGCCAGCTCTCCTGTAATGCAAATGTCAATCTGAGGACGGGTTTCGATGTGGCCCAACACCAGCTACAGCTTAGGCATATGCGCATCGGAAACCGAAGAAGGTGCGGACGAACGGACGAACGAACGGACGAACGAACGGACGCACATCCAAATCAATACTTTCATTGAAAACCATGGTCAAACTGCTAATGCCCATAACTTTTTCGTTTTTGAACCAATCGGGGCGCTTAGACCGGCGTTGGAAAGGTGGTGAGGTGGAACTTCTCTTGGACACCTCAGACCACCCCCTGGGTACCCCCTTCGTAAGATATGGGTATAGATTTGAAAATTTATCGAAATTTTCCAACCGCTATATTTTTGCCTAGACCATACTTTAGGCATGGGGGATATGGTGTTTCCGACTATTTGGGCCAAGACCTTTCCAACGGTACCTAACATGCCGGGGCTCAAATAGTGTCCTGAGAAAATAGCATACTTACTGTATATATAGGGGAAGGTGGGGCTATTCGCGCCATCGGCCTTTTCTCGACACAAGCAATACATCCCGAGTAGCAAAAATCTCAGGCTTGCAACCAAAATTTGTTATAAATCGGTTTCAATTCAGTTATTCGCAACAAAATATGTTATAGAACAGTTGCAATGTGGTTTTTAGGTAACAAGACATCCGCTTTGTTATATATAAGTTATAGAAAAGTTATTTTTAAGTTGCAGAAAAGGAGAAATATTTTAACAAATTTACCAACTGGTTGCCAGATAACTCATAATCTCAAAACTTTATTGTAACGTTGCTGCAACTACGATTTGGTTACATACGTAACCATGATACGTCAGTGCATTTCACCTTGTCAAACATTCATACAATTGGTCCAAGAATGCAATTCCTGTTGAAGAATTTGCCAAGCTAATGAGTTTCGAAAACGTTGAGAACGTTAAACGTTTCGCGTTGGTGGATTTCATCCAATCCAAAACCAATCAATACGATAAAAACAGAGAAATCACAAAAAAACAACTTGTGTTGAAACTACTTCATTACTATCTTTCTTGTTACAATAACGTAATTCAAGTTATAATTAAGTTACATTCATGTTATATAGAGGTTACAGTAAGGTTACTTCAACTAAACATATTGAATGTAGATATGTTGTATAAAGAAATAGAATTTGGCTGTCATTAGAATTCTTTCCGTAAGGAATACATCGCCTAATCAAAATTCTGTGGCAATAAAATAAAATCATGGAAAACAAAACAAAAACAGACCAATTTCATTGAAACTATCGTGGGATAAAATCAAAAAGAATGGAAATTATAGGAAAAACGTAGAAAATTGTTCAAAAATATGCTGGCATCCAAAATATTGTTTGACATTGAAACGCAAAATAGAATTTTATTTGTTACTCTTACGTTTATACAACATTTCAAAAACTGAAATGCAACTTGAATAACACAAGTTGTAAATATGTTGCCGAAATGTTTTTGCAACGTGTTTTTATATGATGAAAGTCTAGATGGAAGCTAAGAAGTTCCTGCAACATTACTACAATGTAGCAGTATTGTTACAACAATTCCAAGGTTCTATTTGAGTTACATTTGAGTTTTAGTAACAATGGCAGTAAAAATCGCCATATTTACTGCTGTTTGAAATTTTTTGCACATTGATGCGTTTGTTCTTTCGAAAATAAAATCGAGTTTATCATATATTTATGCATTTTCAACATTGCGTTTTAGCTAATTATTATAATTTTGACATTATAAATCGTATTTGAAATGGTTTGAGATAGTTAAACGAAAAAATTAAAAAAATTGAAAAAAAAATATTTTGCACATTTTTTCTCAAAATTGCATCTTTTGAAGGGCGCGTGAATTTTAAGAGCCTATCGTGGCCACTATTGACGACAAAATGACATTCGTTGTAAAATTTCGATTTTGAAAATGTTCAAAATCGGCAAAATATTTTCATTCTCACACATATATATATATAAATTGCCCAGCGATTAAATATTTCTCAAGTTGAATTTGTCAAAGATAGAGATAAATGATGATGCCGTTGAAAGGAATGAATTGAAGAATGAACATTCAAATTGAAACTCGATAGTAACTTTATTGAAACTTTCTTTGGTTATAAAAAAGTTATATTTTGGTTATATGACAGTATGCGATTTATGAGCATGGCTATTGCAACGATATAATAACATAACTAAAATCGAATTATAACCGAATTATAACCAATTTGTTACAAATAAGCCCCGCCTCGCGGCTAAACAGCTTACAATACGGTTATTGTAACGTTACAAAGATCGGCTTGCAACATCTTTGGAGTTGTATTTAAGTTATAGTAACCCATTTGCAACCGGGAAAAAGGGGAAATTTGCTACTCGGGATATACAAAAAGTGCAAGTGTCATTTTGAAGAGCAATTAATTCCCGATATTTGGATATACAATTCGATATTTTTCATTTGAGTACAGGCTCTGTAAAGGCACAAACATGTTTTGGGCTAGTGGTGAGTTCATTTTTCGAGCTCACAAAATTTCAACTTTGACCATTAAAATTTAATATTTTTTTAAAACGGGTTGATGTATTTTGTAGCTTATCATCAGCTCTTTCTTATGGATATAAATTTGTTTTGAATATTTTCAATTTTTGTGGCTGAATCGAGCTTCAAACAGCAATACATGCTGTGGGGCTATTCGCGCCACAAACACAATGGTCAATTAGCGTGTTTTTGGGGACCTCAATGGGGTCGGAGGGGGTGGTTGACTGAGTATTTTTGTAGCACCATCAATTACCTTTCCAACGGTACCATGGGTTTGACAATGCGTTTACTACTTCTTAGATGAATAAAAATCGGCGCAAAGTGAATTTTTCGAATTTTGGGCCAAAACTCGCCTGTCGACAGATGAAAAAAGGTAGTGTCACTTTAGGCATAATAACTTCGCTTCTAGCAGTCCAAATTCCATGAAATTTTGACACAACATCAGCGAAGGATGTACTAATCTAACACCAACACTTTTTCTGATGATAAACACATTTAAAACACTGAAAAAGCGGCCGGCGCGAATTACCCCACCTGCGCGAATAGCCCCACCATTTTTGAATTTCGCCCCAAGGGCTATATCGAACCCCAAAGGGGATCAAACCAAAAACATTTCTTCTATAAAAGTTAGGTAAAAAGACAAGCTGCAAAATGATACCAAACATTCCTGATTTTTTTCAATTTTCATGGAAATATAAAATTTTGAAAAAAAGTGGCGCGAATAGCCCCACCTTACCCTACTCGTGACGCAAAAACTGGCATTTTTGACATTTGGCTTGAAATGCACAATTATTGGAGCGTCACTTGTCGGACTATCGTCCTCCGTGATAAAAAATATAAAAAATGTATAATGTGGGTCAAAAATTAAATTCCCCCTATAAAATATTGCGAGTTGAAAACATTGGTCAAAACATAGGCACTTTTCGATACCCTAGGCTGATCAGATTCCATTCATGGTGGTCTAAATCGATTGCTCGTCCAAAATTATGTGAATATGAGCCAGCCATAAGTCATTGTAAATGAGTTTAGTGTGTCATATAAGCGACTTTGTATGCACGATTCGACCATTCGGATACATTTTAGCACTGCTCAATTTCAAATGCCATTTTTACATGTACAACTAAGAAAATATGGGTGATTTTAAACCTAAACACAATTGTTTGTAAACGTATTTTATTTGTGAATTTATGTCATTTTTTATCGATCTAATCATTATTTCAAGAATACAGTCCAAAAAAATCCAAAAAACCTAAAAAATCGAAATAATAGCCAACATTGATAATTTTTTTATGTAAAATCACTTTTTATGCGTTAAAATATTTCATTCCACCCAAAATTATCGGAAAATGTCAGAAAAATGAAAAAAAAAATTTTTTTTAGAAAAATCCAACAATTCCATAAATTCACTTCGACTTTTGGTCCAAATCTTAATTATTCGTCCTTATTCATTTCATCCGCCCAATATTTTCAACGAAAAACGCGAAAAAACGAAAAGAAAATTTTTAAATCCGAATATAAAATTAAATTCGAAGCACTTGGAACGGGCATAAATTAAATGGAGAATCTGTCATCTTGACATGTTGTTAAACTGCTATTTCACAACATGTCAAGATGACAGATTCTCCATTTAATTTAGGAGTGTAGTTCTTTCTTTCCTTTATTTTTTTTCTAATTTTCATTTTTGACAATACTTAAGATTTCAGTCACTCATTGTATTTTATTCAAAATATTTTCTCTCCATTTAGTTTGTTTGATTCTGGTTGCGGTTTTGGGAGACCAATTCATGGTAACTTAACATTTTTTATGTATTTTCTTGTATGGGGTCGATTGATGACATGAAGAGTATTTTTTCATTTTCCATACAAATTGACTTTTCGAAAACGAAGGAAAACCAAAAAAAATCCACGCGATTCATTACTTAAATTTAAAGCAATATCAATTTTATATTGGCAAATGTTTTTTTTTTGTTTCAAAAATCCATTAATTTTACATTTCAATTCATTCAATTTGGTTATTCCAAACTAAGTACTATTTATGCGTTCCTATTTTTCAACTTGAAGCAAATTGAATGTGTTGGTGGATGTGAGTTGGTTGACAAAGTAAAGGAAGCCATGACACAAGGTAAGATTGAAGCTAAATTTCTTTTCATAGTTTCATTCTCACCATTCGACATACAAAGCACCGTTTGATGCATTTTCCATCAATCTAACAAAGAATCCAGCCCAAAATAACCAAAACTCAATTGATTCAAATCATTCATGACAAATTCGTTTCATTTTAGAAAATACAAAATGTAACGTTACATTTAACATTCGTTTGACGTTTAATTAGATTAAGAAAATAACAACGCGTTGAATCATCCATTCCAATCGTCATTGTGTTATTATCAAATAATTATCAGTTCGAAATTAGCATTTGTCTCTGACGGTATTGTTGTTTTTTTCCAAATACTACAACAATACGGAATCGCTTTTTTCTTTAGTGTAACGTGAAATATTCGCTTCAATAAAAGAAAAAAGAAAATTTTCTGGCTGAATTCGGGATTTATATTTTAAAAAATAGGCTCAATTTATGGGTTATTTTATGGGTTCTCGACATAAGTTACCTTATTAGCACTACATGCATGGAATGTAGGCTACTGTAGTTGTTTTATTTGTAAAAAATTTTAACACTTTTTTCGTTACCAATGTGAAATAATGTACAATGACCATTTACATCATACATGCGCGAGGGGGGGGAACTAAAACGCAGAGCGGAGCGAAGCGACGATCTGCGGTCTTGTTTTTTCTGTGTTATTCCAAATAACTGAACACTCTTTTCGCTGTCTTTCTACACAAGAGCGTGAAAAGTTCATGTCGCGGATGTAAGGAATTTTCCTTTGATTCACTTCACTGATCTATTTTTTTTCAATTTCAAGCAAACAAAAAAGACAAAAGCGGCCGAACAGCTCTACATATCGCTGCTGAGAATGGTAGCTCTGGAAAACTATGCTCACCAAATAGGAAATTGATTGAATCTATTTCATTGACTTCTGTTTCAGGTAAATTGGAAAACGTTAAGAAGTTAATCAAAAAAGGAGCAACAGTTGATGTTGCAGACGTTCGTGATCAGACACCTCTTCATTTAGCTGCTGGCAATGGTAATTTTTAAATATTTATTTGTAATAAATATGAAATTCGTTTAATCTTTTTCATTGATTGGCGTTTTTTAGGTCATAAGTTAGTCGCTGAAGAGCTCCTCAGCAATCCAAGAACCAACGTTGATGATAAAGACGCTAAAAAGCGGACACCTCTTCATCTTGCTGTTATGAATGGTAATGTTATAAATTAGAAATCGGTCTGATCTTTTCCATTGACCGGTGTTATTTGGCAGGTCATAAGGATGTCACTGAAAAGCTGATCAAGGGAGGAGCCAATCTCAATTTAAGAGACAATCATGGATCCGCACCGATTCATCTTGCTTTTAAGAATGGTGAATGCTCACTGGGAAATTCGTTTGAACTTTCTGTGTTCATTGATCTGTGTTTTTATCCCCAGGTCACAATGATATCGTTGAAATGCTCATTACGAAAGGAGCCACAGTTGATCGTGAAGACGGTCGTTTACGAAAACCTCTCCATTATGCTGTTATATATGGTATTGTCGACTTTTATTTTCACTATACAAGCATTAGTAATGCTTGCATTACTAATTGCTTTCCAAGCAATTTGTTTAATCTTTTCCATTGACCTGTGTCATTTTGTAGGTCAGAAGGATATCGTTGAAAAGCTCCTCGGAAAAGGAGCCAAAGTTGATCCCACCGACGATCGTAATCAGACACCTCTTCATTATGCTGTTGAAAAGGGTAATAATAAATACTTATTTTCCCAAAACGAGGTCTTTTTCATTGAACTTTTTTTATTTTTCAGGCAATTTGGAAATCGTTCGACTTCTCCTCGATAAAGGAGCCTCTCCTGATTCTACAGACAATTATTCGCGGACACCACTCTACCACGCTATTTACGACGGTAATCGGATGTTTATGTTCGATAACAAATGGTCTTTTTCATTGATCGATATTATTTTGCAGGTAAGGATGATATCGCTGAAGAGCTCATCAAGAGAGCACCCGATTTTACCGTTACGAATAAATATGGAGAGACACCTCTTCATGCCGCTGCTCGGCATGGTAATTTTCAAGATTTATTTGCACTAAACAAGAAATTGACTTAATATTTCATTGGTCAATATTCGATTTTCAGGTAACTTGAAGATCGCTCAGCTTCTTGTCGCCCAAGGAGCCAGTAAAACTTCTACAGACGCACTTCTTCAGACACCTTATCAGATTGCTGTTGCATTTGGTAAATATTACTTTTTTATATGTTCGGAAAAAGTCATCAAAAAATGATCCAGACAAAAATCTAGTGAGTAGAGTAGGAATTGACTTTTCGGCATATGTCCCAGAACAAAAGTTTCTTCTTTTGAGGTGCCGCATCGAACGCGCACCCAGAGCTTTTGATTTTGTGCGATTTTAAAAATCAATCCACCCTAATGTTCAGTGATATTGAAAATTTCTCTTTAAAGAAATGTGATTCAATCTAAATCACTAATCGATACTATTTTCCAGGACACCAGGACGTGGCCAGCTATCTTAACACCAAATATTAACCCTGCCAATATTGTTACTTTACTATCTCAAGTTTTATATCTTTTAAATTGCTTACGGTACAGATATTGAGTGAAATATTTTGTTTCTGGATTCTTGTAACCTCAACAAATACCCGTGTTAAATTTAAACGCAATATGCGTGAATGATACGCTGTAAGAAACCAACGGTGATGTAGTTTTTACGCTTAGATCAAATGAAACTTGCACACTCCAATGATTAAATGGAGCTGAGGTATCACATTCAAATTGAAGCTTTGTTAAGGTTGTACCAATCCAGTGAACAAAATACTTCGCCCGAAACCTAAACCGCAAGAGATTTGCATAAAAATGCCAAGTTATTTTTTTTAACAGAATGTAAAGAGATTAATCAATTATTACGTATTATGGGGTTTTCTCAGAGGTTTTCCCCTCAAAATCACCCTCTGAATGAATAACAAACAAATAAAAAAAAACACAGAAAAAAATGGATCTAAATTTCGATGAGCTTTGAAGAGACTCTTGTTCACTTTAAAGTGAAGAAACTAGATGAAATAAAATGAATTCAATTCAAAATCTCGTGACTTTGGTTTATTTT